ATATATATATATATATATATATATTGCAATTCTTTTGCCTCTTTCCCCCTACTTAACGTTTTTATTATGAAAACATATCAAATATGCACAAAAGTAAAGAAAATGGCATAAAGAACTCACACGTTATCCTCATTCATAACATCATAACCATGGCCATCTTGTTTCATCCATATCCAAAGCTCTCATCTTCTCCCTACTTAATTATTTCAAAGCAAATCCCCAATCTTGATTTTGATGTAGTCACCCTATTTCATATGTGTATAAGTATACACATATGATATGTTTCCAAAAGATTAGGACTAGTAATATAACCACAATACTATTATCACATTTTGAAAATTGATCATGATTCTCTATATCCAATTCTGTTGCCAGTCAACATTCCGGATTTTTTCTAATTTCCATAAATGATTAGTTTTAATAGTGCTTTGCTTGAATTCACATCTGGACAAAATCTGCACTTTCTTTGGTGTCTCAGGTCACTTTCAACTTACAGATGACCATAATAAAGTATTTGCTTAAGAAACAGGGTACTTGTCCTATGGTGTTTCCCACTTTCTGGATTCCCACATTGCATCCCTGGGAGTCATGGGACATATACTGTTGTTTCCTGTCTGTGCTGTGAATGCCCTTAATTTTAGGACTTGATAAAATTTAGGGCTTTGTTTTTGTTTTTGACAAGACTACTCTGTAGCTGTGTGCATTTCTATCAGGAGAATATTAGGCTCTTCATCTCTCTTTCTGTGATGTTAGAATTATTTAGTCATATTCAGGCACCTGATTTAGTCCAGTCCATCCTATATAAAGTACATAATCAGCTTTTCACTTGATAATAATTTCAACAGCCACCAATGATTATTGTCTAGATCTATTACTTCAAAAAGAATTTTTTTTCAAGTAATTTTTAGGGGCTAGGGTATAACTGTGCAACAGGGTTGCTTGATTTTCCTATGGAGTTTCGTGGTTCAGCATTTGCCTGTAAAGCTAAATCCCATAGAATCTTCTGGAAGGTGGACAGCAACGCCTGGAAGCTCTGTAAGGAGAGGAGCCGAAAGTGATGCCACCAGTTTTCTGTGGGGAAGACTTTTCTATGTGACAGTTTCAAAGACACAAGCTTAAAAAGGAAAAGGTGGTTTTTCATTTTTGTTAAATGACAAAGTCTGGATTCCATCTCAATTCCATCATATTATTTGTACATTACTATTATATTAAAAATTATAGCAGAGAGGAAAGTGTTGAGAAACCCCAATATCAACACTCCTTCCACACATTTCTCTGTTGGAACTTGAGGGTCTGGGCAGTGAATCATGATCTACAGTGACTGTCCCCCTGATGGTTGTGGGTGATTTTCCGTGGCCAACCTTCCAGGAAAAGGAAGAAGGGGAAGGTTGGAGGGTCTGGGAAGGGCAGCTACATTGACAGGAATTCAAGTTGCTTTGACTCTGAACTTTGGAAGGTAACTTAGAAAACACCTGATGTAACCTCTGTCAAGCCAAGAATCCCTCCAGGAGTCTGAGGAGTGGGGAACACTCTCTCTTCCCACTGTGTGCACTTACTGTATTCATCTTATTCTGCCTTTTCAATTTAGTGTGTTCCATTTTTACTACTGGATAATACATTCCATGAGGATAAGGAATTATCTAATTTTTCCCTTTAATCTCAAGTAGGAGTCAGAATGAACTTAGTTGAACATTAGCAAAAGTGTTGAAAACAGATTTCCCTCAGTGACTGCTGACATTGGGGAAGGAGCTGAGTCTTCTGGTTTGTGCACGGAGGTGGGCCTTTTGAAAGGAGATTGGGGGAAGGAGTGGTGCCAGGGCTTGGCAGAGTTACAGTAGTGAAAACTATAGAGTTGGTCTGTGGAAATGCCACTGAACCAGCTGTGTCTGCTGGCCAGCAGTTGTTAAGTTAGGATTCTATCCTCTCACAGAGACTGAGTGACCAAGGCCGTATCCTTCCTAATGATTGCATTTTCAAGGAATGGCTCTTGGATCCTGACAAAGATGTTTCTAAGTTGTAAGAGACATATATTCACAATCCTAAGCCCTTTATCATAATGCTCTAAGAAAAGGAAGTGAGGAGCCTATTGTTAGATTGACTAAAGAATAAATTCTCCTGGAAGCATTGTGATTTCTCATGCAGGCATTTTAATGGGGGAGTATATGTGTCAATCTATTATAAAAATGATGAAATATTTTCAAATCTATTGCAAGATTCTGGGTACTGTTAAGAAGGGACATTTTGAGCTGGGTTTGGTGGTACATGCCTGTAATCCCAGCTACTCAGCTACTTTTTCTAGCTATGTTTGGCTAAACAGTAGAGTGCCCCCAAGTTCAATCCCCAGTACCTGAGGAAGGCGGGTCATATGCTTTCATCAAACTTTTCTTTCCTGGTAGGTTGTAATATATTTATTGATTTGCATGATAACTTTTAAATATATGCCATGAGAACTGTCTTCACTTCTTTACCACCTAAAGGCCAGCATCTGACCCAGTGGCTGGAAGCAATTAGATCTATCCCCGGGATGACCACTTTAATGAATAAATGAATGAATGGCTTGACGTCTTGTCTTCTATAAGTTAAAAATGACAGAGAAGAAACACTGTTTAATAGAAACACGTGAATAAATGTTTGCAATATGTCCTGAGTCTGAGTTGTATTTTAGTAATTTTGTTTTTCTCCTCGTAGATTCCTTACTTATTCCTACCTCCTGGCCTTCAACGTGTGGCTTCTGCTTGCGCCTGTTACCCTGTGCTATGACTGGCAGGTGGGCAGTATTCCTCTGGTAGAGACCATCTGGGACATGAGGAACTTAGCCACTGTCCTTCTTGCAGTTGTGATGGCCCTGTTGAGCCTGCACTGCCTAGCAGCCTTCAAGGTAATTTCCTCAAAAATCAAATGGACTCTGCATATGAAAATAGATCTTCTATGTTCAGTAATGTTCTTTTATAACAGAAAGTCTGGGTCTGAATCTGGTTGTTCTTGTCTATAAAACTTTGTGCGTTTCAAGTTTTCCTAGTAGGTAATTTATATTTTAGCAGTGATAACAAATAATGCCTACCTTGGTTTTATATTTACTACCCACTTCATAGAAATTGAATCTGAAGTTTTACAAACAAGAATTTTTTTCCAAGTATGTTGGCTTATTTTTGAAGTAATTTGTTTTATTTCAATTAATTTATTTGCTAAATCATGATAAATAATACATTTATAAATACTTGGAATATGGTTAAGATTCTGCTTACACTAATGACTAAGTAGTTGAGTGATTATTTTCCTCTTCTTCACCTTGAAAAGATATAAAACTGGACAAAATTATTAAATGCAGCCATTTCAGAAATGACCAAAAGTAGCAAAAAACTGAAAAATATCTATTTACAAAAAACTGCTATTGCACTGGTGAAAAATGCTTCTTGCTTGAGGATATTCCCATCCTCCAGATCTGGTGGAAGAAATTCAGAGGTTTACTGTTTGGAAGTGGCTGATTTGGTATGGGAGAGAAGCAGGATAGCCAGAGATTTCAGGGATAGATTTTACAGGCAAGAAAACTACAGAGGAGTTGAGATAATATATACTATGTGCGTTCATGGCTAACTGCTAAGCAAAGTGTGTACATGTCATCAAGGAACACAAGCAGAATTAAAATCTGGGAGACTTACTTAATTACTGCAAGTCTGAATGAATTCTTGAACCCATATCTAGATTCAGTAGCAGAGAATGAAAGCTTTACTGACTCGAGTCATCTCTGTATAGCCTTTGTCCAAATCATTGACTGACCACAAGCCATGAAGGCATAAGAGATCCGGAGATACAGGCAGAAGAAAAAATAACCGAGCAAAAATTTCAGCACTTGGCAGAGAAACATATTTTCCGGTTTGAGTCCTGACAGGTTCATCAAATATTTTAAAACAGTAAAACCAACAATTTTACAAGAACAAAATAAAATTCAGAGTCACTACAATGTATGACATACAATGCCTAGTTTTTAACCAGAGATTAGTAAACCTAAGAGGAAATGGGAGAGTGTCACTCAAACTCAATAGAAAAACGAGAAAAGAAACAAGAATCAAAGGAAATGCAAAAGAAATGAAATTTCAGATTTAAACCCACATAGTGTGCTGAATTGCTTTTTTTCCTTGTGACAAATTTGCCAAGGTAATTCAATGGAGGAAAGGATAATCTTGAAATAAAAGGTGCTAATATAACTGAAGATCTGTAAGAAAAAACCTTGACCTTCACTTCATACTGCATACAGAAATTAATTCTAAGTGGATTTGTAGTGCTAAACAGGACTTAAAATTACAAAGCAGAAAAATCTTTGCAAATTTTGGGTTAAACAGATTTCTTGGAACACAATAACTAAAGCCTCTAAGAGAAGAAGTCCATAAATTTGACATCATCAACATTAAATTTTTATTCATCAAATGATAATGTTAATCAAATGAAGAGGCAAGCCATATATTAGGAGAAAAACTTTTCTATCTATAAAGAACTTGTATCAGGAATATTTATAAAGTGCTCTTAATACTAAAACAACAACAACAACAACAAAACTGATTAAAACTAGTAAGGTCCTGGTGGAGAGGGTTAAAATATGCTATTCTGGCATATTGAGGTACAACCACTTGAAAAACCGCAGGTACAAAAAAGTCATTCTGATATTCTTGCTTTTTCTTAAAACCAGAAAAAAAATTCCCATGGGAAAGACATTATACCTATACTGCAAGGAAAAGCAGTATCTTTATCTTCCAAGAATGAGGAGTCAGGATGGAAAATTCCATTTAATTATTGATTTAATAACTCTTCTCACATAACTCATCTTTTCCTCTTCTTTGTCCAATCCAACATATTGGTAACTGATTTCACTTGCTTTGGTGGTCTCCTGTACCACATAAAACTTACATTATTACTTTCTCCTGTTAATCTATATTCTTTTTTTAATATTTGGAAATTTTCTACTTTTCTTTTTTAAATTTTTTTTTAGTTGTAGATGGACACGGTACTTTAATTAATTAATTTATTTTTATGTGGTCCTGAGGATCAAACCCAGTGCCTCTTATATGTGAGGAAAGTTCTCAGCCACTGGGCCTCAATCCCAGCCCTAATCTGTATTATTTTAATGTAATTCTTGGACCCAGGTAGACCCTAGATGGAGCTGGAGTTTTGCTGCCACTAAAAGATACCTCACAAAAGTAGATACACAGAGACCAATAAACACATTAAAACAAATGCTCAGTATCATTTGTCTTTAGGAAAATTCAAATGAGAACCACAAAACAATACCATTAGAATGAAGGTCATCGGCAAGATTCATGATACTGTGTTGGCCAACCTGGGGCAATCTAACCCTCATACATGACTGGTGGGAATTAGAAATACTTCAGCCATTTTGAAAACTTTGGCAGTTTCTTTAAACAGTTGAACATAACTTTAAGCAATTTTATTTGCTAAAAAGAAATGAAAACATATGCCCACACAAACGTTTTATATGCGACTCGTCACGGCTGCTTTTTTAACAATACTGAGAAAATGAAAACAATCTAATGATCTCAATTTGTAAACGCACAAACTCAATGTAATAAATTGCTCAGAAATTTAAACAATGGAGTCATAAAACAACATGGATAAACCTCAGACCAATTATGCTAAATCAGAGAGCTTTGCCAGACTTATAAGACTATATCCTGAGGAACTTTCTTAAACCAAACCAGACTTCATCTTATCTCACTGTCATTCTGAAAAGTGCAGTACCTGGATGTGCATGCCTAAACTGTCTCCCTGATTCCGTCCAGACAAGTTTTTTGACTGCCACAAAATGACCCAGCAATTCTGTATCTGTAGAGGCCCTCATTAGCCAGTCCAAAAATTTTCATAACAAGGGACTCGAGATCAGAGGACTTCTTTGTTCCATTCCTTAAATAAGGTTTTCCCTCCACAGTGCCTTTCTGGAACACATGTTGGGTCCACCTGCCCTTGGTGGCGTATAAAAAAGTATGAGTCCTATTCTTGAGTAAACACTTTCTGTGCTTATATTGTAGCCCAGTTCCAGGATACCAAATGATTGCACTGGTATGAAAGTCTGGAAAAGGCATAATTATAGTGACAGAAATGTGGTGGTAGCAATTGACAGTGAAGAGTCTTGAAAGAGCTTTTGGGAATTTTTGCATGCTTTTTAAAGTTTGATTGTGGCAGTGGTTGCTGGACCACCTGTATTTATCAAAACCCACTAACATGAACGCTTAAAATGGGTGAATTCTCTTGTATGTGAACTGTATCTCAATAAAGCTACAAAAACTTGAAAATGTTACAAATAAATTAAACACTAGAATGAACACAGAACTGAAATTTAAGTAAAGAATATAAGATCTGATCCTGAAAATTGGATGAAAAAACATTTCCAATTATTGAAACATCCTATTTTTTAAGTTAATATTAAAGTCACATAATATACAATTAATCATTTTAAAATGTACAATTTAATGGTCTTAGTATATTGACAGCACTATGCAACTCCCAGCTCTTTCTAGCTTCAAAATTTTTCCATCAGCTCATAAAAAACTTCCCTGCTTATTAAGTAATCACACCCAACCCTTTGTTCCTGTGTACCCTGTTAACCTCTCAACTGCCTCCTGCCCCTATGGATTTGCCAATTCTGGATATGTATATAAAAGGAATTACATACAGTGTGTGATCTTTTGTGTCTGGCTTCTTTCACTTAGCGTGGTATTCTTGAAGTGCATAAAAGTTGAAGCATGCATCAACACTTTGTTCCTTTCAAGGCTAAATAGTATTTCAATTTGTTTTCCAGTCCTCCATTGATGGACATTCAGGTTTTTTCTATCTTTGGGCTATTCAAATAACACTGCTATACTCATTTGTGTGCATATTTCTCTGTGGACATATGTTTTTAATTCCCTTGGTTATATCACTAGAAGTGGAATTGCTGAGTCATATAATAATTCTATTGTTAACTTTTTGAAAAATTGCCAAACTGTCCTTCCCTGCTGCCCACAGTGGCTGCCCAATATAGAAGGGTTCTTTTTTTCTTCAAATTCTTGCCAGCACTTCTTATTTTTTGTTATTTTGATTGAGGACATCCTAGTGAATGTGAAAAGATATCTTCCTGTTTGATCTGTACTTCCTCAGTGATCTGTGAGCATGTTTTTCATATGACTCTTGGCCATCTCTGTATCTTCAGACAAATGACTTTTCAAGTTCTTTGCCCATTTTTTAATTAGGTCATTTGTCTTTTTGTTGTTGAGTTGTAAGAATTCTTTTTATGTGTGGGATATTAAACCCCTAAAAGAGATTTGATTTCCTAATATTTTCTGTCATTCTGTAGGTTGTCTTTTCACATTCTTGCCAATGTCCTTTAATACCCAGGCGTTTTCAGTTTTTATGAAGTACGCGTTACCTGCTTTCTTTCTGTTGCTTAAACCTTTATTGTCAAATCTAAGAATGTATTGCCAAATCTGAGGTCATGAAGGTTTACCACTGTGTTTTCTTATAAAAGTTTAATGGCTGTTGCCTGTATTTAGGTCATTGTTCCATTTTAACTAAAATTAAATTTTGTATGTGGAGTGAAGTAGGGGTCCAACTTCATTCTTTTGCATGCAGTTATTCATTTTTTTTCTGTACTGTTTTTATAAGAGTTTATTCTTTTCCCCAAATGTCTTGTTTTAAAGTAACCATCTCAGTTGCATTTTTATAAATCCATTGTATAAAGCAAGGATGATGTGAAACACCATTCTTGAAAATTATGGCCTGCGAATTACTTAACTAAACTTGAGCTCAAATTTCACCTTCTTAGTCTACCTTAAGCACCCAACTTAAAATGCAGCCACATACTCTCTACTCCTTTCCTCACCTCCCTTTCAC